AATTTTTTTTTCAAATTTAACTAAGGCAAAATTGTAAAAAAGCTGAAAAGAATTGTTTTTCTCATTTTAACAGAAACAATATGTACAAGTAAGTGTTTCTTTTTGACGTTCGTGGCCCAAAAACAAATAAATTTGGAATTTTATTTCTCGCGCTATTACTGAGGATTGCGTGATCTTTTATGACTAAAAAAAAGTCGCAAAAATATTTTTTGGATTCTGTTTTGAAAATTTGTAAAAACAGTCAAGAAACAATAGTGCTTAATTTTTAAAAATAAAATTCAAAAAAATGCTTTAGATTTTTTAATTTGTAAAAAATTCAAGAAAAAATACTGATTAATTTTTGAAAAAAAAATCAAAAATATTTTTTTAATTTTTTTTTTCAAATTTAACTAAGGCAAAATTGTAGAAAAGCTGAAATAAATTGTTTTTCTTATTTCTACGAAGAGTAAACAATGTTCAGAAACAATATGTTTCCGTTTTGACGTTCGTGGCCCAAAAACAAATAAATTTAGAATTTTTTTCTCGCGCTATTACCGAGGATTGCGTGATAATCGTAGCACAGAACAAATTTTTGATAAAATATCTCAACAAAATGTTTTTTTTTGATCTAGAAACGATAAAAATCACCAAAAAATTTTTTTGTTCCTTTAATGTTTTGGAGTAGTGTACTAAAAATAAAAGCTTGCAGATTAAGCTTAACTCTGCGTTAAGCGAAGAGAAGAGCAAGCAGTCCAGTGGCGAAGTCCTGGCTCTCCCTCCTCCCCAACAAGACAAGCAACTGTCTTCCCTGATCCAAGACGTGGAGTCTAAACACGGTAAGCACCCCCAAGCCCCCTTTAGTCAAAAAAAACGGGACAAGCCATGAGTTGATTCGGGAATTTGCAGATTTTTAATTCGTGCTATTGTTGCAGCGGCTACTGTAGCCGAACTCGAAGGCATGATCCATTCCCAAAATCAACTCATGGACAAATTGTCAACCGAATGTCACACTCTTACCCAGAAACTGGAAGACGCCAGCGCAAGGCATAAGTAAGAATGCTAGTTAAATTTTTGGGGATGATGCTCAATTCCATTTTGACCAATAAAATCGTGTTTTTAATTTTTTTTTAACTAATGGCTTGTGTTTGGTAGGGACGGATCAGGCAAGTACCAAAAACGAGTCCGATTCGCCGACAGTCCGACCAACCAAACGCAAGGAACCCATTAAAGTAGATATCAGTGTTAAAGTGGTACCCAAATCCCGTAAGGTTAGTCCTCAATCCTTTTATTGCTGTGATTGTTGTAATCAATTTTCTTACACTCGTTTTATGCTTAGAGTTGAGAGGGAAAATTTGCGGACAAAAAATAACGAGCTTTTGACTAGATTAGGAAATGTGTGGGACTGCTTCAAGCAATTTCATGAAGAGCATAAACTACTTGATACTCAACAGGTAACCACTTATTTTTTTTCTAATTGTTTTCATTGTTTATAGGGAGGAAATACGGGAACTACAAACTAGCCTAAGTCGCTTAAATAGTAGATTAAATCAGTCTCAAATTAACTCCTCCAGTCTCAAAGGTACTTTAGCAGAAATCTAAACTACGGTAGAACACAAAGTAGCAAATATTTTAATGAGACATTTTGGATTTTAGCACCGCAAATAATGTATTGAGTATTTTTTAAAACCATTTAGCTAATACTGCATGAAAAATAGTTATTAATCATATAATCAACATAAGAAGAAAACAAACGATATTTCTTGTAGATGTATTGGGCTGTTTGTAGTTAAAAATTAAATTTTACTTTTTCCAAAGAAGTGTTTACATAGTTAGTTTTTGCTTTATTCACCAGCGGACAAAATTAATAAAAAAAGCAGTTCAAAATAAAAAAAAATATAATTCGACATTGGAAAAACTGTTGCAAAGTCCATTTTTTTATTATGTGTTGGTGGAGGAAGTGTGTATCAAGATCATGACATGTTTTGACATTTCCCGTTTAAGTTTTGAGAAGAATGAAATAAAAAATGGCTGTATTTACATACCGGTGAGCATTAAATTTTCAATAATAAGTGATAAAGGTATGCAAAAATTTTATTCAAAACTATATTTAAAAAAATTTCAAACATTTATCAATTTGTCTCATATTTTTGAAAATGCTGCGAATACGGTTAAAGATACAAGAAAAATATAAAAAAGAAAGTTGTAGAGAATAAAATTTTCAAGAAAAAAGTCTGCGAGAGATACCTCTATCTTCAATGGTTTAGGTCCTAAAGACGTTCAAAGGCGCTCAAGTGTCATTTTTACCGACAAGAGACAAAAAATTCATTTAAACCTAAACGGTTGAAGATAGAGATATGGTCTCGGGGACTTTTTTGTAGGAAATTTAATTCTCTACAACTCTGTTGCCTACACTTTTTTGTATCTTCAACCATATCATATCAACAATTATCAGTTTGCGTTCCCCTCAATATTTTTGAGAACGCTGCGAATACGGTTGAAGCTACAAAAAAAGTGTAAGAAACAAAATTGTAGAGAATAAAATTTGCTACAAAAAAGTCCGCGAGACCATATTTCTATCTTCAACGGTTTAGGTTTAAATTACTAAAGTGTTCCTCTGGCACTGAATCATAAGTAAAAATGTGGCTTGAGCGGCTTTGAACGTCTTTGAGGCCTAAACCATTAAAGATAGAGGTATGGTCTTGAGGACTTTTTAGTAGAAAATTTTATTCTCTACAACTTTCTTTCTTACATTTTTCTTGTATCTTCAACCGCATTCGCAGCATTTTGAAACACATGAAACGGAGCACTGATTTTAAATTTTGAATATTTTTTTCTCATCTTTCTCGTGAAAAATTTAGTCGTTTGTTTTACATAGCTTATAAAGAATGTAAAACAACATTTTTGCACTTTTTTCCAAACATTTACTACACTGGTTGAATTTAAATTAATCTAAAACGATTTTAAACTGAGACGGTAAAACGCTCTAAGCGCCTTTATTTTTGGGTCCAAAAAATCGAGTAAATAAAGTTTCTTTCTGGCATTAGGTTTTTATAAGGCTTGAATTGCGATTATTATAATGCCTCAAAACAGTTTTAGGCGCTTTACAAATGTTGAAAAGAGATAGTCATAAGTACGTTTTTCCAATCATTAATTGATCCACATATAATAAAAAAACGGACTATACATATATCACCCGTGAATAAAGTATGTCACTTGTAGTTTAAACACTTTAAATTTAGAGAAAAAATTAACTTTTTTGCTTTTATAGTAATACAATTTTTGTTTCTATTCTTTTTTCTGATTCTTTTTTTTGTGCATAGATGAGGACTCTAATTCCCTTAGCAATCAAAGACCTGCACCACCAAATTTAAGCCGTTCCAATAGCCGATCATCTGTTAAACCAGACCCAATTTTATCAAGGCATAACAGCGAAGACAAAACACCATCACTTCAAAACGTTTCCGAGAGAGAATACATTCCAGAAGATTATTCAGCTGATCCGAATCAACAGTACGAAATGGATCCGAATCAACAGTACGAAATGGATCCGAATCAGATGTATGCAACTGATCCGAATCAGCAGTACGAAATGGATCCAAATGCGCAATATGATGAGTCTTACGGACAATACAATGATCCTAATGTACAATATGTTGAGGATCCAAATCAACAGTATCCGAATCAAGAACAACAAGAGTATGTGACTGATCCGAATAATCCGGATCAACAGGGGTTATCAAATGTGCAATATTCAAATGATCCGAATCAGTATTCCGATCAACAACAATATCAGTAAAACATCAGAGTTGGTGGTGGTGTTTTGGAAAAACTACAATGTTGCAATGTTTCGCAAATTGGAAAATAAAAATAATAATAACAATACAAATAGTATATTCGCTTCCAATATCAGAGAAAAGCAACACATGTTATAAATAATTAGTGTAACTTAGATCTTATTATTTTATACTCTCTTGTTTGTATACCTTGTAAGAATTTATAGAATAAACCGTAATTGTTTAGAAATGCTAATAGTATATTATATCACAACTGTGTTTTAATATTTTTCTATTGTTTGGAAGACAGCTTATTTCGATACCAAAACCGGTGCTTTAATGGGCTATTTCAACACCAATTCGGGTGTTGAAATAGACTAGTGCAATTTATTTTCTAGAGGTTGGCAATGCTGATATTTATTACCAACCACCACCTTATTAGTTAAAAAATTCATGATTTAATAATGGTTGCAATTTTTGTGAAGGCACAATAAATAAAACAAATAGTATGTCACATGATATGTGATTTATTGGATCAAAAATTAGACTGGAACTATTTTTTCGGAGAACTGTATAAGCCCATAATCGCCCGTTTCCATCCACTTTTCGCTAATAGCCTCCATTTTTTCGGCTAAACCCTGTGGTAAACCACACACAATATCGGCTTTAACAGTTCGTAAAGTACACAATTTCGTCGGATTGAAATTTTGCAATGCCTCATCGACGGGAGTTGTCGGATCCCAATTTTTTTCACCAAACAATTTTCTATAATTCAGATCTCCCTTAAATATCACGAGAGTTGCTTTGGATAATTCTTTGTACAGTTCGAGTTTCACGTCACGCATATAGGAGAAATCCACTGGTAAAGTCCAGAAGTTGTCCTCAATAACAACCCATGTCCCATTTTCGACATAATTGTACCATTTATTCCCCAACTGTCTTAAATACTCGTCAACATTCATTCTCAAGTGATCTATCATCCATCGGAAGTCGGTGATCATGACATCGGAAATGAACCAAGGGATGGTTTTTACGTAAAATCGGATTTTTGAAGCCAGTTTCTTTGTAGTTAAATAATCAGCGATGCATAAGTCCGTAAAGACCTCGTAGCCGGAATTATCAAACACGATGTCTTTAAAGGAAAAAAATTGCGATTAAGAACCTATATTTTTAATTTCTGGACGAATTATAGCTTGTGTGTGTGTCTGTCTGTCTGTAAACAGCATATCTCGAGAACGAGAAGAGCCAGAAACTTGAAATTTGGTATGTAAGTAGGGGACGCAGCACGAAACAATTGGTAAAAATCGGTAAAAATAAGTAGGATAAGGAAAGTCGTGTGATGTTCACACCAGATTTTTTACTGTGCAAAAATTGTATACCTATAATCGGTGATTGGCCACCAGAAACAGCCATCCATACTTTTTCAGAATCATCACACAAAATATTCGGCTCTAAATTTTCCAAATTGAATAATTCGTCAGTGTTTGAAGTCATTTCACCATTTGACAGAGACAAGTCACATTTGTTGCCCCACAAATTAATCTAAAATATTAGATATTTCAACTAGAACAAAATTAAAGGTTTACTTTTAATAAATGGATGAAATCTTCTTTTTTCGGTTCTTCTGACTTTTCTAAAACTTCTACCAAATATTGGGACAGTTTTGCCATAACTGGTAATGCTTGGAAATGAGAATCCCTCTTCTGTTTCAAAAACGGATCATAATTTTTTAATGTGTTACTGAAAAATTATTTTTTTTACCTCTTCACTGAAATAAAAGATATTATTACATACGTCATTTCAAAAGCTTCTTTGATTCTTCTGTACATGTAACATTCTGATAGCAGCCATATTGCAGAAAAAAAGGTAACATTTCCTTCTTTATCAGATTGTCCAGTAATGTAGTCGTTATAAAATTTTATATCAGGAGCATCGGAAACAAGTTTTCTCAATGATTTATTTGTTTGAATTTCGTATTTCAATTTTGAAAGTTCACCAATTACTGATTTAAGGTCATTTTGACCTTCCTAAAAAAGAATTTAGACAGATTTTTACAACACAGAAGTTTTTTGTAAAATTCGCAACAAATGAGTTTTAGGCTCAAAAATTGGTTATTTTTTTTTTGGCTTGTTTTGACGAATACTGGCGAAATAAGTAAGTTTTTGGCTCAAAAAGTGAGTGATAATTTTGGATCCACATTATGATAAAATGATGATTCAAAAATGGGAAACAAAACCCTGAAGTTGGCAATACTGAATGATTGGTAATCTTTCTAATTGTTTCAGGTAATGATCATAAGTGGCAAAGATGCCAATTTGAGGATAAAAATCAGTGTTGTAAAGTATGGTTAAATTTCACCAGATCTGGTGATTTTCGTGCTAGTTTGGTGAAAATTTCTATAAGGTGATTTTTTTTGGAAATGAGAAAAACTGTTGTAATTCTGCGGTTACAACGAAAAATTGATAATTGACAATTTTCCACGTTTTTCTACTAGAAACTTGTTTTTCCCAAATTTTCTTAAACAAAAATCGAAAAAAAAACAATTGGTTAAAATAGTTCTATTTGTTTTTACGTGATTTTACCGAAAATGACAATTTATTTATGCGTTTTTCGAATGTAGGTATTTTTTTTATCTAGAAACACTATTATTTCTCAAAATTTTGTAAAAACAAACAAAAAATTCAACAAAATGGAGCAACAATGTCGTCTTTTTTGCCTTTTTCAAACATTTAAGCACGTTTTTGAGATAAAAACAAAAAACTTTTGAAAAATTTCGTTTAAACAAGCTGGCGAAAATTTCTATCAGGTGATTTTTTTTGGAATGAAAAAAACTGTTGTAAAATTGATAATTTTTCAATTATTATAGATATAGTAAATTAGGTCAAAAATAAATGATAGGAGTACTAAAGTAAAACAAAAAATTCAACAAAATGGGGCAACAATGTCGTCATTTTTGCCTTTTTTAAGCAAGTTTTTGATATAAAAACAAAAAACTTTACAAAAAATTTCGTTTAAACAGGCTGGAAAAAATACAAAATTAAATCGAAATTGGTTTAATTTTTTTTGCTTGTTTCACTGGGTTTACTTCGTTTTTGAATCAGAGGCTTATTTATTTTGTAAAATCTTGTCCAAAAAAAAAAACAAAAAAACAAAAAAACCACAAAAAGAATTGAGCAAAATTAAGGCAAAAATAAACCGAGAAATTACAAACTTTAGTCGATTTTTTTACTAAAACCTGTATCTGTGAAATTTCAGTAAAACTAACCAAAAATCAACAAAAAAGTCGCAAATTATATTATTTTTGCATTTTTTGAGGGTTTAATAAGCACGTTTTTAATACAGAAACGCAGTTATTTCGAAAACTTTCATTAAAAATAAGCAAAAAATTCAACAAAATAGGCCAAAAACGTTGTAATTTTTCCTTTTCTTCAAGAGATAAAACCAAAAAAGTTTCAAAAATTTCGTTTAAACAAAAAGTACAAAATTTAATCGAAATTTGATATCGATGTTATTTTTTTAGTTTGACTGGATTTAAGTGGTCTTTGAGGAAAATTTAGACGAAAATAAACAAAATTTGGTCAAAAATTTGCGTATTGAAACCTGTTTTTCCGCTGAAACAAACCAAAAAATCAAAAAATTAAGTCAAAAATTTAGCAAAAGCGAAAGCATTTAGCAGCTAAAAACGCAATTATTTCGCAAATTTTGTTCAAAACAAGTCGAAAAAACACAAAATTAGACCGAACATAATGTCACTTTTGCCTTTTTCGAGAGTTTAAGCAGATTTTTAAGATGACATATAGCGTCAAAAATCACTAAACTCTTTATTTTAAATTGTAATTTTGAAATCTGGTAAAATATGGCAACTTTTTCAACTTGAATCTGAAGAATTTAATTTTTTTGAGCTGGCAATACTGAAAAAATCAGTCATACAGTTACAGTCTCCCTGTATAAATCTTCTTGTATTGTATTTTTTTAAGTAAGAGTGATAAATATGGGTTATTTTGCAATAAATTGGTTACTTCTTTTTAGTACCAACCTACATCTTATTTATGTGGTTTTTGTGGTATTATTAATCAATAATAAAATACTTACCTCACCATGTTCACTAGCTATTTGCTCCTTGCTCCTAGCAAGACCATCAAGAACTTGTGTTACAATAACTGGCATTCGATTTTTGACTGTGTGATGAGCAAAACTCCTACAATATCGTCCAGACACAATACTAAATCATTAACATTAAATTAATTACCTCTTGTAGAATGCAGTAAGATAAACATTACGTGGAGTCTTTAAATCCATACTTTCCGGATTGCAATCGCACATTTTGAGTAGCAAAATTCACAGCTAAATCAAAATTTCGGAGAAAAAAACAGAGAATTTTGAGGTGAAATCTAAACTGTCTTAAAACAAGTCCATTTTACACACTGTCAACGAAAAAATTAACATTTTACAAAAATAAACTTGCAATAAAACTTTACATAAGCTTGATAAAATTAAAATAGCGAAACTGACCTCTTCGAGCAACTTTTAAGGTCAGGGAAGGACAAGACTTGAAAATAATGGTGCAATTTTGAGGTTAAGTTGAGAACAACACAAAATTTGTATTTATGAAGTGTATTTGGGGCACATTCGGGGCTCTTATAGTAATAATAAAAATAGGTTATCGACGACGACAAGACATTAAAAAGTAGTAACAATAAATATGTTGTTTTTTTATTCATGCATTTGCAAAAATTACACAAATATTGCAATTGTTAGTTATCTACCTTAATTGTTGTTTTAATTAAACCGAAGAATTTGGGTTTGTAAAAATTTTAAAATCAATTAAAATACCCACTCACTCCCTCCTCTCTTCGTCTCTTTTTCAACTCTAACCTCAAAATTATCATCAGTGTTTTGGCGGTTTTCTAGGGTAAACAAGTTAATTCATGAAGACACGTTCTAGATTTCTCCAATAATATCATTTTTAACATGTTTCAAAGCAGCATAAGGTAATTATAAATAAAGAAAATGCTTCGTTACAAGAAATTGAATGAGTTTTTTAGATCTTTCTTTACTCCAGTCAAAGATAACGAAGAATGTGTGGACGGGTACGTAAACGTTTAACAATGTTTCATTTCCCCATTAAACGACTAGTTGCAAATTACCGAACTATTAATTCATGTTTGCCCCAACTTAGAAAAATTGCCGTCTCTAATGGGGGCCCATTGCAAGCGAAACAAAGCAGTAAGAGGCCTAGGAAGTCAAGCAGTGCTGACAGCTCCCCAGATGTCAAGTAAGAGTCAATTTGCATGAAATTGTGTTAATTGCTGTTATTACAGGAAGGCTTGCCCCTCCAGCGACTCCCCCACGAAGTCTGATAAAGGTACCCCATTTTTTTACGTTTCAAAAAATTCCGCTTTAAAAAATAGTGATACGTAAATGTTAATAATTTGTTTCGATTGGTTGATGTCATTTTTGACAGTACTATCTGGCCCAAAAAGAGTAAAGCGGCATAGAAAAATTTACATGTAAATTCCATAGGTGACTATATCGAGCACTTTTGTCACTTTTCACAATGTTTTTTCTGTACAGTTGGAGACAAAATACTTTGGTCGTCACTTTTCTGACACTTTAATGTAATTCAAGCTTTATATTTTCCTATCAAAAATATGTATGTACAGTTGGAGACAAAATACTTTGGTCGTCAATGTCACTTGCGTGACATTAAATTGTAAAGCATGCTTTAGGACTGTTAACCTTATTTTTAGCTACTGTCAATGATAGTTGACAAGTTGTATGTACATATTTTTGGTAGGAAAATATAATAGCTGTCATTAATTTGAAATTGTCATTCATTTTAACGTTAAAGCTTGAATTACATTAAAGTGGCAGAAAAGAGACGACCAAAGTATTTTGTCTCCAACTGTACAACTTGTCAACTATGATTGACAGTAGCTAAAAATAAGGTTAACAGCTCTAAAGCATACTTTACAATTTAATGTCACTCAAGTGACACTGACGACCAAAGTATTTTGTCTCCAACTGTACAAAATAGTGGCTCAATGTCATTTTACACAAAAATCAAATGTTTCTGACCTATTTCACCCCAGGTAATGGCTATGCTACGAGGTGTAGATGAAAATTATTTTAGAACACGTTGTACAGTGGCAGACATGGAATTTTGGACACCAAATTTATGTCAGTTCAAAAACTGTCAATGCTTTGAAATCAGGTGATTTTTTTTGGAAATGAAAAAAACTGATGTAATCGCAGAATTACAAAAATTGATAATTTTTAAATTATTATAGATATAGTAAATTAGGTCAAAAATAAATGATAGGAGTACTATTTTTTCGAGTATTTTCCACGTTTTTCTACTAGAAACTTTTCTTAAACAAAAATCGAAAAAACACCAAATTGGTTAAAAATAGTTCTATTTGTTTTTTACGTGATTTTACCGAAGATGACAATTTATTTATGCGTTTTACGAATGTAGGTATTTTTTTTTATCTAGAAACACAATTATTTCTCAAAATTTTGTAAAAACAAACAAAAAATTCAACAAAATGGGGCAACAATGTCGTCATTTTTGCCTTTTTCAAACATTTAAGCACGTTTTTGACATAAAACAAAAAACTTTCGAAAAATTTCGTTTAAACAGGTTGGAAAAAATACAAAATTAATTGGAAATTGGTTTAATTTTTTTTGCTTGTTTCACTGGGTTTACTTTTTGAACCAGAGGCTCATTTATTTTGTAAAATTTTGTCCAAACACGCCTAAAGATTACAAAAAAATTGATATTGACGTTATTTTCCTAGTTTTACTGGATTTAAATGGATTTGCAGTTACATATTTCGCAAAATGTCATTAAAAACAAATAAAAAATTCAACACAATAGGTCAAAAATGTGGTTATTTCTGCCTTTTTCAGGTATTTAAACACGTTTTTAAGATAAAAATAAAAACTTTCGAAAAATTTCCTTTAAACAGGCTGAAATGGTTTAATTTTTTTGCTTGTTTCACTCGACTTACTTCGTTTTTGAACCAGAGGCTCATTTATTTTGCAAAATCTTGTCCAAACACGCCTAAATATCACAAAAAATGGAGCAAAATTAAGGCAAAAATAAAAAAACCAAATTGTTTAAAAATAGTTCTATTTGTTTTTTACGTGATTTTACCGAAAATGACAATTTATTTATGCGTTTTTCGAATGTAGGTATTTTTTTAAATCTATAAACACAATTATTTCTTAAAATTTTGTAAAAACAAACAAAAAATTCAACAAAATGGGGCAACAATGTCGTCATTTTTGCCTTTTTCAAACATTTAAGCACGTTTTTGACAAAAACAAAAAAATTTTGAAAAATTTCGTTTAAACAGGCTGGCGAAAATTTCTATCAGGTGATTTTTTTGGAAATGAGAAAAACTGTTGTGATTCTGTGGTTGCAAATTTATGTCAGTTCAAAAAATGTCAATGCTTTGAAATTTAAAATTTGAAAATTTTAGTTGAAATTTATTTTTCCGAAACAATAATGTTTATTATTTTGACTTGTTGTCATTTTTTTGGCTATCAGGATAAAAATTACAAAAATCGAAAGTGAGGTTAGTTCCCTAAGGCCCGTTTTACATTTTTATGTCAGTCGAATGGTAGTATGTACAAAAATAAGAACTTAAATTGGTACTTACATGTATTTATACTGGTAACAAATATCTAAACATTACTATACACATATGACAGTAGCGATAAAATACTACTCATAAAATTATTTTGTTTTTTATTGATAAATATGCGTTTGCCCACTTGTATTTTTTGTTGATAACTATTTCGTTGATATATAATTTCTTAATTGCTTTTGTATTATGTATTTTGCGATAAATATTTAAAGTGGTTGTTAGCTGAATAATTATATTGGAGCCGCGATCATTTTTTATCTGCCCCGCCCATTCGGTTTTCTTAGTAACCAATGAAATGTCTCCAAGGTTGCCAGATTTGAACTGAACAAATTTATACAGTAAAATATCCAGTAATATTTTGAAAAGAAGATTATGATGACAGTGATTTTGCATTAATTTTGAACAAGAATAGCTTTTTGTAAGAATAATATGCCTTTATTAAATGAAAAAGAAAAATAAAATAAATAAAGCATTTATTGAATTTGTATTAAGTATGGTAAATGTTAAAAATAATATATTATTATGCTGTTTTATTTCTCTTTTGACATATTATGCCTTACTTCTTAATTTTTACTGAAATTTTATTTTTGTAAGAAAAAGATGGAAGTAGTTTTTTCTATTATGTACTCGTACGTTGTTTGTCTCTTTTTATTTTCTGTATTTCTCAGTCATTAAACCATTTTCAAGGATGCAGGATGTCTCAAAAATGAGGTACAATAAAAACTTCTATTTTTTATAGAAAACATTTAATGTTTTTTTTTATGTGTAACATATGTATATTTATTCCCAATTATAAAGTAATAATCAAATTACCTTCGAAAGTGTGACATTTCAAATAACAATTGATATGAAATATATAGCTTAGGTTATGAAATCGCCACTTTCCAACCTGAAGTGTCATATGTTTTTTTTAAATTTTATAAATTCTTTATTGGCTTTCTGTACAAACCTTGGTGGTTGTTGCTTCATTAAATTTCTTCTTTTTATTGAAGCACTTCCCACCTCGGTATGTAATCTACTGTTTTATTGATTTTATTTAGTTTTGGAAATAATTAAAATAATAACACTTTAAAGAATAAAGCACAAAAAAACTGAGGAAATCAAAAGTTTAGTGAATTAAAAACATGTAAGATGACTAAAAATATAAAAACTATTATTGTTTTGTGAAGCGTAAAATGTAATTTTTTCCCTCTAATTAGGCAACTTTGCAGTTATTAAAACAACAGTTCAATTTTTTAATGTTTAAGAGTATTTTTTTAGTTAGTCCAACATTTAAAAATTTATGTTAAGGTGTTCGTTGTAATTTTTTCAATGATTCAATTTTTAAATGTGTTTTCACGATAAATGTAAAATACAGTGGGTGTTTAATTAAAAAAGTTTGTATTGTAACTCATTTCTGAGACATTTTTTCTTAAACAGAGAACAAAAAGGAAGTAGAGAAGTCACCTAAAAGTGCTTCGCCTAGTCAAAAGCTGGTAAAACCCCTGTCAGGTAATAATTAACAGCATTAGATTTTTTTTTTACTAAACTTAAACACCTTAGTTAAAGATTCTGCTGAAAATGATTCCTATAATCCAAATGTTGCAAAATATCATCCTCTTGAAGACGCCACTTGGAAGCAGGGTGAACGGTAAATATTTATTTTTAATGAGAACATATTATTTAAACAAGTATTTTTGATCAGTAAAAATAATAAATGCACAATAGAAATAATAAATGCACAGCAAAATAATAAATGCATAGTAAAAATAAATCAGGAACACAGTAGTGCAAAGAGTGCTGATTAGACTGATTACCATTTGTGCGCAGTTTCCAGCTCTTGCTAAAATCATTCTTGCGCAGGGCTCTTGCTAATACATATACCAACCTCCAATAATAATAAATATTCAGTAATATAAAAATAAGTATCAATAATAAACACCATTCTTGCGCATACATTGTTATGTGACCAAGACTGAATTTTTTTTAAATTTTATGTTTTACTAATTTTGATTAAAGTTACTGAGCGTTTATTATTGGATTTTTTTACTGAACAAATTACAATAAAACTGTGCGTGCTTTACTTAGCATTTATTATTTTTACTATGCAAAAATTAATTAAATACTATTCATTTATCATTTTATACTGATCAAAATTGATCGCTTTATTACTACCCATTTTTAATTACAACAGTTACAACATTTGTGTTGATTTCAGAGTGCCATACATCGCCTTAACTCGAACATTGGAGGAAATTGGGAATATATCTAGCAGATTAAAAATAATTGAAATTTTGAGTAACTTTTTCCGTTCTGTAATCCTCCTAAGCCCCGATGATTTGCTGCCGTCGCTTTATTTGTGTTTGAATAAACTCGGCCCGGCCTATGAAGGTTACTTTTAATTAAAAAAAAATTTTTTTTTAAGTTAAAATTCAGGTCTTGAGCTTGGGGTCGCTGAAACCAGTCTTATGAAAGCCATCGCGTCCTCGACTGGCCGCTCAATGTCGCAAATAAAAACCGATTGTCAGGAATTAGGCGACCTTGGGTTGGTCGCTGAACAGTCAAAAACAAACCAAAGGATGCTTTTTCAGCCCGCAAGACTTTCAGTTTTCGGAGTTTTTGAAAAACTGAAAGAAATCGCCAAATTGACAGGACATGCTGTAAGATTTCGCCTTAGTTGAATCATCAACACCGAACTGGTGAATTTTTCAGTCCCAAACTAAGAAAATTGAAAAAATACAAACAATGTTCGTGGCTTGTAAAAAATCAGAAGCGCGATTTTTGATTCGTTCATTGACTGGAAAACTACGAATTGGGTTAGCTGAACAGTCGGTTTTGCAAGCCTTGGCTCTTGCTTGTGCCCTAAATCCCCCAAATTCAAAATCGCCGGTGAAAAGTGTTAATGTTGGGAAAAAAATTGCGTCGGAGGATTTTAAAGTGGAGTATGATAAGTTGGCTCTTATCCTTAAAACCACTTATTGGTACTGTTAATTGTACTATTTTTGTTGGTTTTTTTTTCAATAATTATTTTGCAGTGAGTGTCCCAATTACGACTTGATAATTCCAAGGTTGTTGTCGGACGGAATTGAAAAATTGCCACAATTTTGCAAACTCACTCCGGGGATTCCCCTAAAACCCATGTTGGCGCACCCCACGAAAGGCATCCAGGAGGTTTTGCAACGGTTTGATGGGCGGAAATTCACCTGCGAATGGAAGTATGACGGAGAGAGGGCCCAGGTAAAGTACAGAAAATATGACGAGTGTTCGAAATACAAAAAAATCTCGACAAAAATAAAAAAAAATATGTTAACTCTAAAAATTGATCCATAACGTTTTTTACATTTCTAGAGGTCTTAAAGACTCAGAAAAGTGCATAAAACGGTATTGGGTCAAGTTAAAATTTGTTTTTTTTTTGAGTTTTTGAAAATAGTCAAAAATAGTCAATTTACCTTAAATTGTTAAAACGCTTGAAATGTGGTTTTCTAGTCGTAAAATTACGCGCTGAACACGATGCAACAAGTTAAAATACTCTACGAGAGAGATATTGACTAATAAAGTCAAGAATAAGGCTAGAAGCATCCGATTTTGACCAAAAAAATCAATTTTTTTTATTCTTATGAAAAACATATGTTCACAAATTTTTACTCTTTTTTATTTTGTAAATTGCGTCAAAACTGTAACTCATTGATATAATATTTTGACGGAAACACATGTAAAATGTTCCGGGGAATCGATTGGCGTCAAGAAAACTGCAAAATTCCTAATAGTTTTGAAGTTATAGTCGAATTTATATTTTCGATATTTTTGACTTTATCAGAAAATTTCTCGATAACTATTTATTGTAGAACACTGATCTTTTTTGTATACGATACAAAATTAAATTTTCTTTCCAACGGTACCAAAAAAGATTATCACCAATAAGTCCGGAGTTATTCGCAATGAACCGTTCCGGGTGCCAAAAATCGACCAAAATCTCGACAAAAATAAAAAAATTTCAACTTTAAAATTGATCCATATAACGTTTTTTACATTTCTAGGGATCCTAAAGACTCAAAAAAGTGCATAAAACGTTATTGGGTCAAGTTTAAAAAATTATGAATTTTTTGAGTTTTTGAAAATGAGCGGTACTAAAATCGTA